CCCCAAAACCCCAAAACCCCAAAACCCCAAAACCCCAAAACCCCGAAGTGAAATAAAAGAGGAATTTAGGAGTTTAGAAATTATGAAATAAACTTCAGATAATACAATGAGAGTGAGTTAGAGAATTAAGGGTTAAGTCTCACATTCCGTAAATCTTCTCAAGTTGGGCATGGATGCCTTCTCTGTCCATATCAGGTGACTCGTTGGGGTTGTTGAGGATGTCGAAGAAGTCGAGTTCGTCGTATCTGTCCATGTGCATGTTGAGGGCGTGCATCGATGAGCCGTAGCCACCGAGTCTTCTTGTCTGAGCAAACATATTGCGCTCAATGACCATTCTCATGGGGAAGTGAGATCCATATAATATTGATTACTACTGTAATTGTTGTTTCTCACTTTGAATCACTGAATTATCTTGCATGGTCTTGGCTGGGTGAACTTCAAGGGTTTGATAGAGAAGGGGTTGTTGAGGTCCCACAGTCAAGGATTGAGTCTCGATTTGATGCCTTGGTAAATGTTTGTGTAAATGATCCATTTGAAAATTTTTTGGTTAAGTTAAAATTTAATATTATATAAACTTTTAAAATGAGCAATTTATAGTACTTTGAATTAGAATTAGAAAAGGGCGATGTTTACAAAGGCACTCTCACTTCAGATCACGCACTCAAAGGGTTGGCTGTTTTCCAGCGAAAAGGAAAATTCATCTTGATTGGCAATGTCGATAACGGCCTCTTCCAAGGTCCAGGCATGCACATCGACATCTCAGAGTGCACAGTATACCTAGGCGGTTTGAGAGACTCTATGAAAGATGGAGCTGGTCTGTTTGTGAAGTATAAGTCTCCTCAGATGTTTCAACAGATCAGCAGACTCTTTGACCAATGCAACAAGGACAGTTATCGTAGATTGATTCAGGACTAGATTGATAAAGCAACTCAAGAGTCAGAAAAAGCCAAGAATAAAATGAAGAAGTACTCAAGTGTCTTCTTATCAGCTGGACTTAAAGAGGTTCTCAATAAAGTTAAATACAGCAAGGAGTAATGCGAAAAAAAGAAAAAGAAAAGGAATCAGTAATTGGAGCAGTATCAAATAATGTACTAAGGGGAATTTCAAGAAGATAAAAGGCAAGGTTGGGGAGAAAACATATTCAGAAACGGGGACAGCTATAAAGGATAATATGAAAAGGACATAATGGAAGGCAGAGGCATATACATTTTTAACAGTTTGGAGTCAAATTCAGTTCTCTATATTGGGGAGTTCAGAAATAATGTGTTTTAAGGACTGGGAAGAATGCAATTCAGAGATGATACGCAGTACTTCGGCTCTTTCAACAACAATACAATGTAGAGCGCAAAGGCAATTGTCAAGTATGGTAACGGAGACAAGTACAAGGGAGGTATCTAGCAGAATTAAAAGAATGGAGATGGAGAGTATCTCTACAACAACACAGATTTATATGCTGGCTAGTTTAAAGGAGACAAAAAAGATGGGAAAGGAAAGCTCTCGCTGACTGGCACACAGGTCACATATGAGGGAGAATTCAAGGATGATATGAAGTGTGGTGAGTGCAAGAAGTATTTCTTTGGAAATTCATATGGCTGGTTTGAAGGCTATTTGGATGAAAGTGAGGAACTAAATGGTGACGGTAGGTTTGAATTCCCAATCCAAAATATGATCTATGAAGGAGGATTTAAGAATAGTATGTTTAATGGTCATGGCAAGATAATGCACACTGACACTGGAAATGTCTTTGAAGGAGAATTCTTTGATCATCACAAAGATGGGCCTTGCACCTTCACACTCAAGAGTGGTTAGCAGTTCAAAGGCATATTTGAACTTAACATGGAAGGAAATAGAGATTGTAACTATGGTCCAAGAGTGTGATCAATTAAATCTAAATATTTGTATTTTAGTTTTACATTTTTATAAAATTAGTCTCTATTAGTTTTAAGGGGTTTTGGGGTTTTGGGGTTTTGGGG